GTTTGGCACATTCCTCCTGGGACACCCCGTATATATATATATATATATATATATATATCATGTTCTGATATGGCCAGTATTTAATATAACTTCATATCCAACTCTAGAATTAGCTACGATTTCTAAACTTTGCTTATATTTTTAAATACCTCATATAAAAAGATTTTACTCCATTGTAGATTATTTATTTTGTTTTGAAAAGGCCTTTGTACACAACAAGATCTCCTTGTCAGTAAAATTAGAATTGATTAGGTTATACTATCTTCAGGGTTAATCTTAAAAGAAATTCTGAAAACTGGCAATATTCTTTCAGATTTAGACTTCCCAAAAATATGCAGTACAGATATCTTTGCATCCTGGACATATTTTCAATCTTGGGGCAAAAGAGATTCATATTTGCCTACTGGGTGATGTGGTAGTAAAGACCACTAGCATTAGAGACAGTTATTCTAAGTTTCTTCACTTAAAGTACATTATCTCAAACCTAAATGTGACTACGTGAACACAGAGAAGTCTTACCGCTGAGTAAATGGCTCGGCTGGCACCTGGTGAGTTATAACAACGTGAAGGAAGTAAAACTTTCTTCCACTTCTGCTGGTTAGTTTTTAAGTCACCAATCAGTGCATCATAACTGTGGATCCTTAAAGAATGTAGATAAACAGAAGAAGTAATAAATTAATCATTATATCTTATAGAAGGAAAAAAAAAATGCTTTATGTTTAAAATGAGAGGTAGTCATTTCAGAAGTGGTAATGTAATAAAACTGACTTCTATATGTATAATATAAATACCATCATAAATGCAACAGTTTGTTGTAGTTCTTTGTCTTTCTTCTTTCACACTACATGTTTCAGCCGTAACTGGCCATCATCAGGTGTATTTCACTTACGTAGCTGTCACACTGCATGTAATTTAAAATTTAAAAACACCAGCTTTCTCAATTGTCATTGCTGTGTTTCAATCGGTCCCGATATACCAGAATCCCCTTGCTGATTTTGTCAGTTATGTTTAAAATCTCTGTTAATATACACTCGTCAAAACTCGGCACTATACTGCTCCTGCCAGCTTCAGAACCCTTCTTCATATCCACTTTGCATGGATCCCGGGGAATATACAGCCTCTCTATTGTTGGAAAGGCATGTTTACAGCTCCTGTGCCCAGCAACAGACATCCTATTGCTGCACGCATTGGTTCCCGCAGGAATGTATTTACCAAGTCATTACCTAGCAATGGGTCTATATGTCACATATATGTCACACAGAACATATTTGTTTCATTTACATGTAACACAGATTAACAGACTAAATAACCCATGTGAGAATAAACTTTTTCCTTGTTGTCAGATTACACATTTTACACGTTCACAGCTTATCAGCCACTTTTCAGAAAAATAAGTTTCTGTTACAGTGAACAAAAATGGTTGTGCTTTTAAGTCTATATTATAGAGATTTTTCCCACATTGGAGGTGTGAAATTTACAATTTTGCTTTATTTTCTGCATTATAAAATGTTTCTTGCCAAGTCTGGTATGATTTCTCTACATTAGGAGACAATATAATTACAAGTTTCATGATGAGAAAAATTCTACTTACTGAGTGCAGTGTTCAGAATAGCAGCTCAATGCTTTAAGATGAATCTTTACGTCTGTACTCAGTTTGCTCTCATTCACGTACAGGTTCACAGAGTTAGTTGTCACGGTAACATAGGCATACACCATGGGGTTGTTGGGAATATCATATCCTCGTATATTGAGTAGCCATGCTACCTCATCCAGAGCTGTAACTACTACTGCATTAGCTCCTTCTGCATCAAGTTTTGCTCTCAAGTCTTTGATCTTGTCCTCCCATTTTCTGCCTGAATATCAACAACCAAAATGTAACTGAAATTATGAAATCATATCAAATAGATATAAAGTACATATAGTACATGAAAAGAACATTTTGAGACTAAGAATATTTAATTTTTTTATTTCCTTTTCATAAAAATGATTTTTCTGAATACAGCATTGTTATATAATCTTACATAAAATTGTAAGATTTGAGGCTTTCACAGCGGTGACTATGAAGAANTTACTTAAAGTTGCTAATGAGGTACAAATGTGAAAGGGAAATAAGGAGATGGGATATGCAAAAACTCTTCTCTATTTTTAGTGATTTAGTTTATGACACTTTCAGCATTGCAGGTCATACAGCACCAAATGACAGGATGCTAGACAAATGATAAACCTGAATTGATTAGTAAAAAATCAGTTTTGGCCTGAGGCACTACCCACCATTCTTCCTCAGGAAAGCCAAGGAAATCTTAAGTCAGGATAGCCATGTCATGGCTGAGTTTGGAACTGAGCACCTCCCTAACAGAAGTCCTAAGCAATACTGCCAGAACATGTTCACTACTCCTCTTATGTAGAGTGAAAACGTCATTTAAGATTTGTATTGGGAGCAGTGAATCTGAACACTTAAGAGAGGAAAACCTTAAACAGAGGTAATTTAACACAGAGTTTATTGACTTGAGATTATTGAAACCGAACAATAAATGAAGAAAAACCTTAAATAAAAGAATATTATATGGTAGTTTCGCTGGAAACGAAATACCCTGCAATGGTGAACTACTTTTACAGACAGGACTTTGGTAACTGACTTATGAAGGAAGTGCGACTATGAGAATTTAGGTTACTATAGCTTTATGTTTATTTTCTAATTTCATTTATCATTTGTATTTGGACAGGCAGGAAGTCCATACTAGTTATATTCAAAAGATACAATTATGATTGCCTACATGCTTTCACTGCTAAACTGAAATGAACTGTAACCGCATGTAATCCAGTATATGTATACCCATTTATTCACCTGAAAATCTTTCAGGCACTACATAGGCCTTATGATCTGAATATGGTGGTCTTCCAGTAGTAGAATTCCAAATTCTATCAACAGGATTCTCAAATACTTCTATTAGGCTGTTGCTGGAATCTCCTGTAAATATAATCACATAACAATTACAAATTCTAAACACTAGAATCATATCAACACAGTCAGGGGCATCTCAGTTAGTAAAGTAGACTATATTTACATTAAAAACTGAATACAGAGTGAGGTTAAATAAATTATATTCATTAGTCTGTTTTTAATACTGTAAAATTATATATAAATAGTTAAATAAGTTGTCTCCACCTTGTCATGGTGGTGGGGCTTGCATGACATTGTGACCTGGAGAGCTATGCTGGCAGTAGTTTAACTACTGGTAGGTTCACCCATGCCAGAAAGGTCAAAGGGTAGGGTCCACACTAAGAGATACACTGGGCCTCCAGGTTGGAGGTTGGGCATGAGGTTAACAACCTCATCCTGTAAAAAAAATTTTGTTCAGAAACCTAACAACCAGCCTTGGGTCATTATGCGTGGATCCCTTCCTACAGCAGTACACATATTGGTTGTGGAGACTGGTTGTAGAGGAGGCCAGGGCTCACCCAAGGCTGTA